ATTTCAAGTGCCTCCATGGCGCGGTCTCGATTCCCGGGCCGGGAGAAATATTTGTATGGCCTACATTTATTTCTCTTATGAGTTTGTCTGTAATTTGTGGTTGTCTACCTATGTGTGTGTTCACGGCAACCACGATACAGGGTTTCCCTAGTACGGGGTTATGAGTGTGTGTGCGCGCGTTATTTGTTTTTTCGGCCGTGGCTATAGGGCCCGTTAAGAGTCCGAAACGTGTGTTTGTTTGAAAAAACAAATATAAACAATTTTAGATCCGAAAGTTATAAACGAAATACTTCAACTCGCATCGGGCTAGCTAGATGGACTCTGGTATAAAACTACAACGGCGATTTTAGCCCAACAGTGGAACTTACGACTTACGATGACGAACCAGCTACTCAATAAATTTAACTGTTGAATAAATTTTGTTTATGTAGTTGCGCAATTACTTATATGATGATTTTAATATAATAATTGGCATTTTACGCGAATATTACGCTTGAAACAAAAAATTATATTATTTACCACGAATTTATTAGCGATTTTTATGGAAATTCATAAACATTAAAATATTAAAGGAATGTTTTATGGAAATTTAGTTAGTTAATAGAATAAGTATAAGAAGCGCAAAATCGCATATATCTCGGTCACGTACTTCGACACGATAGATATCAACTGCTTCAACTTATGATAGGAAAGGTTGAAGGCAAAAGACGCGTTGATAGACGTAAAAAAACCATGGTTACGCAGTATAAGGGAGTGGATCGAAGCCACGGACGCAGAGCAACTGTTTCATTTGGTCATGGATAGGGACAAGTTTGCCAGATTGACGGCCTCCTGAAATGGAGAGAAACACTTTATGGAGAAGAAGAATCTCATCTATGTTTCAAATCAAAGAAGTATCAAATCTCGTTTCGGACTCTTCACAGGTCCGATGGTCGCGGCTGACTTGAGATTGTTTTTTTTCATTATATAACTAGCAAACGGTTCGCCTAATGAAAAACGCCAGTAAAACCAGGGACATTACTAACGCGTTGCCAACCCTTTAGGACCCTTTTCAAATCACTTTTGAAGGACTCCATGCTGTATTCTTGTGGAAAAACCCTGACAGGGTATTCATTAATCAACCTAATTGTATGTGGGAGAAAGCTGCTTTGAAACCGTACAGGACGAGATCGATGTTGCTGTTGGCATCATGTCAAACAGTTCTTCAGAACATTGGCCATTGTACAGGCACAGGGAGGCAAAGTCTCTTCTTGAAGACAGTGGTTCAATATCGTCTGTAAGCACAGGATCGTTAACAATTCTCATAGCACGTCTTTGTACCGCGCCGAAGGACCCTAGTTGGCAGCTCCCGCCCAGAGATGGCAGCAGTGTTTCACGCGGGCACGGACTTGTGACTTAAAAAGTAGCAGTCTCTGATTTAACGCATCTGTGACGTAATTTTCTTTACGTTGTCAGAAGGTGATCAGAAGGCCGATAATGTACATTTTGGAGTATTTGATCTTTTTAACCTTTTTGTAAAGTCACCGTGGTTTTTATTGAATGCTATTATTTATGTTATGTGATGTTACATCCTGGATATATTAATAAATATTTTTGTCGGCCATGACCATAAAACCCGAAACATTGGTTTGTTTGAAAAAACAAATACACGCTATTTGGATCCGAAAAAATAGTTTAATTCTCCAATGTGTAGCAATCGCGGAAACTTCAATGTGTTAAAAGTTTATACTTTCAAAAATATATATAATTAATTAACAGCGATGTGGTGAGACGGTTGCTCTTCAATCGAGAGGCTGACAGTTGGAATATGACTTTAATTTGTAAATTGCGTACATTTGAGAATGTTTGGTAATGATATTTAACTGCCTCTGTGGCGGAACAGTTACTATGCTGAACTCCCATCTCGGGATATTTGTATGGCCTACATTTATTTCTCTCGTGAGTTTCGGTGTAATTTTTGCTTGTCTATGTGTGTCTATTGCACGCGATACAGAGTTTCTTAGTGTGTGGCTATTAAAAAACGAAGTAAATATCTCTCGATAAAATAAATTTGGCAAATCTGCACGTTGATAAAGGTTCGCAACTCTTGGAAAATCTGTCGTTGTCTATCGTTAGACCAGTTGTCGTCATTGTCGTCCCGCCTTTTTATCATCCTTTTTTATTCGTTCTTGTCCAAGACTGGTTTTGAAGGCCACATGGGACTTGTCAACTTTAGTCTCACGGTGACGAGCGCAGTGGCAGTGCCCCTTATATCTTTGCGATTTAAAGCTCTGAGTGGCACTGCAATGGACAGGTGTGTCGCATACTATCAGACGCACGACTTATTCGTCCCGTCATTTGGTGAAATTACAGGCATATGGGACTTGTCAACTTATGTCATAGGGTGACGGGTGCAGTGGGAGCGCGCCTCAGCTCTTTGCGACTTAAAGAGCTGAGTGGCACAACAATTGTTCGACTTGTGCGTCGCGTCACTTGATATTATAAAAAAAAACTTGTTATAAAAAAGCCTCAAACTAGGGAATTCCCTTTTGAGGGTAAAAGGCATTTTTCTACGATTTTCGAGAGACAACCATAACGTACAAATCGAAAATGGCAGACTAAACTCAACTATGTAATTCCACGTATTGTTGGCACATTTGTCAAGCCCACTAAGCACTCTGCTGTATTTATTGTTCTGTGGTTCTAACCAAACCGCTAACTAGACAGCATCCGGAGACGATTTTCTACTACATAACGTAGTACAGACCACAGCCATATATCTTTCTGTGGTACGGATAGACCATACAATGCTGATGATATTACGGTTTTAATTCATTTTATAATTTATGACGAAGTTGATCTAAGATAAGAAGAATAACAGCCTCTGCCGTCAGTTTATTCATTTAACGATGTACAATTAGGCGTACGTACTTTCATTGAGCTATGATAATTATAATGGCCAATTAAGATCTGTTATCAAACAAAGTTATTGAATTTTGTGAGAATGAGGTTTGCAGTTTTAAAGTTAAACCTGAGGGCGTGTAGCCTTTTCTTTTGACGACGTGGGTGCTAGATGAGGAAGTTCGAGGAAGACCGATGAGAGAAATGAAGTTTTCTAAATTAGGGGTTTTCTAGATCGATGCTTCCAAATGGTCTATATCGACTCCATAGCGATCCAATCAAATTTACAAGGGGTCCAAGTTAACGAGAAAATATAGGGTTGATAAGACGTTACGTAGACCCTACGGTTTTTAGTAGCAGTAGAGTTACACATAGGAAATAAAAGTATTTTTGGAATCTAAACCGCGAATATTTGAGTGAGTCACCCGTGACCATGGGACTAAAGGGCCCGAAAAGTTGGTTTGTTTGAAAAAAGAAATATACGCTATTTAGATCCGAAAAAATTGTTTGTTGTGAAAAAGTTCATTCAGGTAAGTTCTGCCACTAAACGTGTATGCGTGCATTAATGTACCATCCCAGGTGCGCGACAGTGTTCGTCATGAGTTGGTATTATAAAAAAAAAAACAGGAAGGTGATAATAAAAAGTTAAAGCATACCGGTTATAGCTAGAATGTATTTACTACGTTTATAGCTACTCATTGCTAACCCGTACAAGCTAAAGTCAAACCAGTGACCAATCATAGCCCATAAAAGTTTACGATGGGGCCAGAGGCCATGGTCTCTCCGTTAAACCGTAACACCCTTTCTAGATCGTTGGCATGTGTAAAAGCTGGATACCTTGCTCCAAATTGAGACCGCAATCGGTCATTGGCATTAGATGTGTGTTGAGCATAAGTTATCTTTCAAAGATTCGCAAGAAGCGTTATGCTTCCACATTCATATGGTGAACTGTTATGGAGTGGAATTCCCTGCCTGCAGGCTTGTTCTCTGAACGTTATAACTTCGACCTTTTCAAGGGGAAAGTGAATAGGCATTATTTAGGTATGCATGCTCCATCGTCGACTTCATCGCCACTTTATCGTCACATTACAGATGCGATGGAGGTCAAATACGCAATTACATTTGTATAATAAAAAAATTGAAAATATCTTGAGGCTAGAGCGTTCAATCTTGCTGCATTTCCGCGTCCCGGGAAAAAACAATTGAAACTTGGTGCGGTCTCGAAAATCCTAGGAAAAACGAGACTTTCGAGACTGTTTTAAAAGTAGGTTTTTATAATATAGACTTAGGCATTTAGGCAATTAAAACATGATATTTTAATTAAGTTCTTTATTAACACAAATCATAAAATGAGAAATTATTAATTGAAAGTTATTTTTAGTGACATAGGATTTGAAATTTCGTATCAATCTATGTAAATAACGATTTTGCTTTAAATTTCTGTACCCTTTGTGAAAAATACGCTAATTCGACTTACACGAGTACCAGTTTATCTTTTTTTAGGAATTTATCATTTTAAAAAATAGTAATGAAACCTGCTCGTCGAAACGGGTTCACACAGTAGACTATATATGGCCTAAACCATAATTTCCCAAAGTGATCCCTACCGCCCCCCGTGGGCGCTGAAGTTTCCTAGGAGGTGGTAGGGGCCTCGAAAGCAATTGGGGGACGTAGATGCTGTCCACAAAGCTGACATAAAAGAACCTGAATTATCTACATATCACCTCTCTCAGATCACCTCTGCGGAAAGACTACAGCTTACAATGAATTGGCACCAAAATGACTAGATATCGAAATAACCATTTCGCTAAATACCTAAACCACGCAGTAAAACGACAAAGTGCAGTTAAAAATTTGTTGTTAAAAAAATACGAATGAAAATAAAGTCCAAAGTGGAACAAACTTCACTTTATAGGTACTTCCTGTGTGCCATTTTTTGTGATGGTGGGCGTTAAAATATTTTTATCTTGCTTAAGTGGGCGGTGAGCCAAGCTTTGGGAACCCATGGCCTAAATTCTCTTCTAAAAGGAGACCCGTGGTTAGCAGTGGGACACGTGGTATTAGAAAAAAAAATGCTAAGGTTTAGTTTTGTCACAACTCACCTATACATTTATTTGCAGATGGGACCCAAAACGTCGCATCACCCCAACGGAAGCATCACGTCACGAGTTCGTCACTGGGTGCCCCCTCGGTTCAACGCCCTCTGGCGTTCTGGCGCTTCCTCGTTTAGCGCCCCCAAGACCGACTCGCACCGCACTCCTGCACTCCCAGTCGGCTGGCGACGTGGCGGCCATGTTGGGGCGAGCGTGACTGCGTCCCGGCGCCTCCACAGGCCTACTTGATATCAAGTGACACGTAGTTTATGGTACTGTAGGTGTTTCATGTTGCTCTGGTACATTTGTTTGAGGATCATAGTTTTTACATAGATTTGAGTGTTGGGATAATTATACCCTCTGTTGTGTTTATTCTTATGTTGAAGACGTAATAGAATTTTCAATATGTCTGCCGGACCATCATCTACATATTCGGATGTAATTCGGTGCAGGACAGATTCTATAACCTGGATGCATAGAAGGTGCGTTAAGAACGTAAGCTGTTTTGGCGTTGTCATTTGGTACATTGCTTTTGGTTTTCGCCGCTAAAATCACGAAGTTTCAGAAAGATCTTTTAAAATAATAACTATTTAAATTAAAATAATTTTACTTTAATGTAAAAAATATATAACAACAAAGTTCAAACTCTCCGACGAAACAAACATGAACAATGAATGACAAACTGAAAGTGTACTATTCATAATTTGATATTCAGCGTTTATTATTGAACTCTTCGATACGTATAAGTACGTCAAGTTTGAAATTTATGATTTAAATTGATCTTTAGAACACTTGCAATAAGATTGCGATCCAAATATCTTGGTGCTCTGGCGTGTACCACCGCGACCAAATCAAATAGGGACGTGCTCTATTATACATACAGAAATATTGCATAATAAATAATGCGTGCATTAGAAACCAATCATCTTGTTTAGTAATTATATTTATATGGCATGAAATAAAGAAGCGAAGTAAATATGCTTAACATATAAAAAAAATTAAAAAATTACCTTTAATAACCATGGCACAGATTACTAAGATATGTCACTCTCATACAAAATCGAGAAAACCTACACTATAATAACTTACTAAATCCGACTAATAACACCACGCGCTCACTACGAGGAAAAAGGAACCTAACCACGCGCTGAGAGACGTGAAAATAACGTTGTTTGCCGTGTGCAGTCGTGCGGAACCAAATGCTGCGTTATACAAGGATTGTAATGTAAATTAAAGACTTGTCTGAGCGCTTGCGCACTCAGCGGTTATAGATTCCTCTACTGCTACTAAATTTTTCCACTGCTACTGAATTTCTTGTGTTAAAAATCATTATTCACAAGAAATTCTGTTAATTTCATTATGTTCATATTTTAAGTAACCCACTGTTATAAAAAGGCTTTTGAAACAGATCTCAGCAAAGTTATGCAATGATTCGTTTAATTTTATCGTTTGACCCCCTTAGGACCGAAACGGTTGGGTAACTAACAGATTAAACTCCAAAATCTTCAAGTAATGCAATCATACGTTTACTCATCGACATGGATCATGTCAACGGAAGATCATACAATAATTACTAGTGTTATTAATGGAAATCTTTGATCAAACATGTTTTTTAACATGTGTTGTAGCATAGACCTTCTTGTGAAAGAGGAGGTACTGCCACCTTACCTGTTTCTGCCGCCAAGGGTTCATGTGAGCATTAAAGAGTTCCGGTTTTGAAGGTAAGGGTGCTGGTGAAATCACGGGCACATGAGACTTGTCTACTTATATCTCATAGTAACGGGCGCAGTGGCGGTACTCCTAGATCTTTGCAATTTAAAGCTGTGATTAAAACTGCAACCGTTATGGACAGCGTTATGTTAACCACCACGCGCAAGGCTTGTTCATCCAATTACTAGGTATTGTATAATAAAATGTTAGTTCTCCTCAAAATATATCTACTTTTTCTTTTTATAAAAAATATGTGGATGACGAATCATGCACACCTAAATAATACCTATTCACTCACGTCATGTCCAAGTTATGGCGTTCGGGGAATAAGTCAGCTGTCTGGAAATTCCACTCCTAATTATTTTTTTTAGAAAGGAAACTATTTTTTCAGGTCCTTACACGCCCCTACGACCCGAAATGTTGGTTTATTTGAAAAAACATTACACTTAAACAATACACGCGACTTAGATCCGGAACAATAGTTTAATTTCCATAAAAACTGGATGCTTATTCCTAATTTTGATGTTTTGGTTCAAATACTAGTCTAATCGTAAAACTGATTACATTGCAACAATTAGTTATTTCTACATGCACCGGCCTGGCCACAGACACTGGTTCGAGTCCAATTTGATAGAAAGAATTCTTGGTTTTGATCCACCTTAATACAAATTAATAATAAAAACAAACTAGTGGAGCATTTTTACAAAAAAATACATGAAAATTAGTAAAACATCATACTCAATAAATAAATCTGCCGCTGGTAGTTGAAAGGATGCTAGTGACAAAAATTCAAAACCTAGAAAATAAAAGTTTAAAAAAGTAAAATTAAAAAAATATCTACTTGCGGTAACTTCCTACCTTATCCACCTAGGAAAAGAAAAAAAATGTGACAGATCGGCCTTTTCTTCACATAGAAATTTAAAAAAAAAATGTCACATGCGTCCTAACTAACAGCACTAACTTGCGGCAGAAATATTGAAGTTATGTCTATAGTTATCAAATTGTAAAATGTTATACTTTCATATTTAAGTGGCGTATCGCTATGAAGTGGACCTGTAGACTTGTTCCCTGAAAGGTATAACTTTTGTCCTTTTCAAAGCAAGAGTCAATAGGTATTAAATAGGTGTGTATGCTCCATCGTCGACTTCAACGTGACTTGCCATCATGATGGAGGTCAAATACGCACTTATTTTACCATTAACAAAAAACTTATAAATAATTAGGTTAAAAATAATAGAATTCTTCATCTACAACCTCTGACCTATAAACGTAAATCGAGAGATAATTAGCATATCAAAACAGCTCCCCGATCCGTTATGCGCTGGTTACGTGCGTTGCGAAGCACAAGTTGAGAGAACGTTACGCAGCTAGTAGGTCAGAGGGTGATTGCCTTAGGTCATTTATTATTATTACTACAGTGTTTATGTTGTCATTTAGAGACCGGAATAGATAGAGTATATTTACCTAATCTTGAATATAGTGGAACACATGGAGCGGATAATACCTCCTTCTGAAATCTAGGAATATACAATATTTATTTATTAAATATTATTATGTTTTTACCATGATCTATCTTTTTTGAAGACTGAGTAAAATGACATTTCATTTGTTGCCAGCTTACGAGTAGCTAGTGATTGCAGTCGATAAATATTCAGTCGACTTTCGACTGAATATTGGTCACGCTTATCGAATAAATAACCGATTTTTTTTTTCATTTGAATCATCCAACTACTGAACATAAGATCGTTTGAATTGTCAATTCTACATACATTGTATTTAGAACTATGTTTATGAAAAATAAAAGAGACACATTTTAATTCAATATAAATAATCAAATTCGGCTATTCTTGTTAAAATGTACACGAATAAAAATAGACCTCGATGACAGTAGGCCAACTGTCAAAAAGAGAATAAAGAAGACAATAACGCAATTAGAAATCATTAGAACGTAGTAACACTCACAATTCAGTCATCTTTGGCAAAAAGTTATCTTCTTTCAAAATTTATCGATAAAACTATCGACAACAACTACATAACTATTTATAATTTTATGAAAACTAGCAACACTACAAATGTCATTGTACTCCGTCTTCAAATAAGACAGACTATATCATGATATATTGATATTTGACTTTTTTTTGTGAAACAGCTTCACTATATAGTACAAATCGTAATTAAATGTTGGTGTGCCAAAACCTAAAGTTTTTTTTTGTAAGTGTTTGACATTTGTATTAATAATTATTGTTAACTTGAATCTTATTATTGAGATTTCGTGAAGATGACCGTCAAGCACAGCCAGGTTGTTTTTGTTACTCGTGTTAGCATGTCTGTCACTATTTTTCATGTACCGTACATTTTCAAAGTATTTGGTTCTAAAACAACTCTCCGACTTCAAATTATTAAAATTAATTAATAAATTAATTGCGGTGGCGAAGGAATTTTTAATCAGAATAATATTGATATTAATTGATCCTCGTAACCAACCCATCAACGAACGTTTACAAAATAACCAATTATAAGATTCCGCGATCGTGCATTGCATTTGCAAAATGTCTAATTAGATATATCAATTCTTAAATCACTCGTAGCAATCATTCGACTTGGTTTACTTTCTCTTTAAATTATTTTTTGCATAATTATTGCCGTTGTTATTTTTTGACCCCGAGTATTAAATAATATTGCGCGCGGATTGCGGAACGCGAGGGGCTAACCCTCACAGCTCGTCTTGTAAAATCTAGGCTCGCGTTGAAATCACTAGGGAAACCCTGTATCGCGGGGGCCATGGACACAGAGAACCACAAATGTAGGCCATACAAATATTTCTTCCGGCCCGGAATCGAACCTAGGACCTCTGCGTGGCAGTACGGCATGATAACCGTTTGGCCACAGAGGCAGTTAAAATGCTTCGCCTTAAGCAGAAACGTTCATCTGCTAGTTTTCTTCAATATTAAGCACAATTTAATGCCATGTAATAATTACGTTATGTTAAATTAACCAATATGCTTTAAGCTTCTTTGTTCATTGTTCATTTAACTATTTTTATTAAAAAAAACGACCTTACAAGTTTGCTTGTCCGATTTCACTGTGTTTGCTAACACGGTCTCCTCAACGATAACTGAAACACATATGGAAGTACACGTCAAAACGAACCTTATAAGCCCAAACACAAGGTAGCTGCTGTACACTGCTGAAGAATACCTCTCAGATGATGTAAATCATCAGTAGGGCTGGCACGACAGGGCGCGACTAGCGCGCGACATAAAGCGCGGGATCGCTAATGCGAGAATAACAGTATCTCGCGCATTATGTCGCACTCGTACTACTACTATCAGCTCTAGGTCGTCATAACATTTTATTTTCATTGAAATTACTGTTATTTAAATCGGTAAAAAAATACAATAAACTGGATTTATTAGTGGACTTTACACGGACACTCTATCGCGCGTGATGACGTTGAAAGAAAAAGAAAAACATCGCGCCTTAACGCTCATCAGTTGCGCACGCCTTCGCGCACTCCAACACGCGCCAGTTTCGCGCGGTCTATTCTATTATTCTTTACACGGACGCTCTTTACGTTGTAACATAATCGCAGTACTGAGTACTA